CAGAGTATGTACAGAAAAGGAAACTTGAAGCTATTTCTCTGCTTTTCTGTTTAAAAATGCTAAAATGTACCATAATACTTTCTATGTGTATTATAATTAGGTCATACAGTGATCTAGACTGCTAAAAGTGAATGCCAGCCTATTTCCACCAAGACACTAAGTGGTGGGATAAAACAACAGACAGATGTGCAATTTGTCGTGCAAAGGCCCCTGCACGTGACACCCTGTGACACACGTGGTCCAGTTTTGGGCTGCTCTCTGGCTGCAGCTGTGAGCTCCTCCAAGCACTGCCCTTGCTCTGAGTTAGTGACTCCTCAGCTTTCACAGTTGCTCTGTTCTTCTTTTAGAACATTCGAGGAGCCCACACCAAAGGTCTTACTGCAGCTTTAGTCTTTAACATCATTAAAAGCATCAATACAATGGAACAGCAAACCAAACGTTTCCATTCACATTTAGTGCCTGACATCTCTTGCAATGCATCACTTGACTCCTTTTTCAGATTTGCTGTTTCCTGAATCTAGGTCTGTCACTAATTGAAACCAATTGTCCTGAATGTTTTTCATCTGCCTGTTAATTAAGTCTTTTTGGGGGGAACTGCCTGATAATGGGAGGAACAACCCTTTCTTGCTATCCTGGATTTATTTCTAGCTCACCAGAGAGAAGCTGCCTTTCTCTTTAGCGTTTGCCATCTTCAGTCAGAGGGACTGAAGCAAGCAGAGATTTTTAAGTCATTATTTTACATTTGCAAAACTAAAAGGTAAGAGATTTAAGTCAGACTTTCAAAACACTCTACCTGTCTTTATCCTCAATAGTGAGGGAAACCCCACTTTGTTACCTTTGTCTTTGGCCCTTATATGCCACCCTCCGATTCCAGAGCCTTCATCCCTTGCTCTTTCCCCTGCTCCCATCTGCTGGCGCCCTCTGCTGGTAAGGCTCTTGGAGCTGCCCTCAGACCCTGCAGGTATACGTTAAGTGCATTGCCAAGGGCTGGCTGCCTTGTTCAGATTGCCTAGCAATAGATGCTTTCCTTGCCCTGGCTGCCAAGCAGTATTCTGGGTTACCCTACAATTCTGCTCCAGATGAGCCAGTGGGTATTCTGGACTCTGATTCAAAGTTTGGAAACATGGGTGAGGATCGACTTTCCAGGCTAAAAGAGCAAAAGGCAAATTATTGAATTTAAAATTTTTGAAGTTTGGAGGCCAAGGATATAACTCAGTAGTAGAGTGCTTGCTTGCAAGTCTCTGTGCTTAGTTCCAACAACAAGGAAGAAAGGGAGGGAGGAAGGGAAGGAAGGAAGGAAGGAAGGAAGGAAGGAAGGAAGGAAGGAAGGAGAGCAGCCCTTGAGCTCCTGCCTACTAACAGGCTGAGACTGACTTTGCATTTCTCACATTTAGACTGAAATCACTGAACAAATCAGGCACTTTCACAGTTTTAGACGGTGGGGTCTGCAAGTTAGCACAGTGTGCTGGAGCAGACATGATAGGTTTATTGGGCCAATTATGAGCTAGTCAGTCACCCTTCAAAGTCACCACTCTGAGCACATAAAGTGATGATGGTGGTAATTCCTATATTTTACACTAAAATTTTCCCCTAGAAACAGGACTTGGGCCAGTTCCCATCACTCAACAGGCAGGATCTACCTTACCAATATATGTGTTATTGGGTACAGTGTCTTTTTCATTGCATCAGTGTATTCAGTCCTTAAATTTTATAACCATAATTCATATATCTGGTCAAACCATAATCTTTTGCTATATTTTTAGAGTAACGATCTCACTACTTTAAATATGTGTTTGTGGGGGGGTTCTAATCTAACTCCCTCTTTATAACTTTTTGTGACATCTGTTTTGTTTTGTTCCCATCTCTTTTAATAACTTACAGATGTCTTGGCATTTTAAAACTGACAGAGCCTTACAAATCCACTAACACTGTTCTGGGCTTTTATATTTCATCCTCCCTTTCTACATGCCCCAATAGCAATGGTATCTCCTGGGTTGGAACATGTATTAGCAAACTCACAAAAGTAGCAACTGTGATAAACAGTCACCTATAAACCCAGACTTTTCAATGTAGTTCAAATGGAATTTGACCCTGTATGTTTATGTCACCTATGTAGAGAAGTTGTTGCTTTTGTTTTCTTTTGTTTTATAAAAAAGTGTTTGTCTCTTCAGTATGGTGCTACAGTAGAGAAATATTTTATGAATTGAGAAGTTGGTCATGAGATTCCTGTCACAACAGCCCAGGCTTTGACTAAGAATTGTCTCTAGCTTTTGTGAATTCTTCTTGCATTCAACAAATACAGTGAGTCTCTGGCTCAGACACTGCAATGGGTCCTGGTGCGGGAGGTGCCCAGTGTGGCCCTCAAGGCACCCACGGTCAAAAGGTGTTACAGTGCAGCAGGAGACAAGCTACTGTGTGCAGTGTGATAGATGACATAGAGAAGCATGGGCTCTGTGAGACACGAAAAGGGGTTTCTAGGGGTGTGCGTGTGTGTGTGTGTGTGTGTGTGTGTGTATGATGGCCAATTTTGCTTGTCAACTTGATTGGATCTGGACTCAACTAAGACAGCAAGGGGCTTTCTTAATCACATTGCTTGAAGTGTGGAGACCCCCCTTAAGTGTGGGCAGTGCCTGCTGGAGGCAGCTCAGATAAAAGGGCTGAGAGAGCAGAGCCTGCATTTTGCCTGTGCATCTCCACTCTTGCTGACAAGTTCACTTACCCTGTCCCTGAAGCTTTCCTTCGCTGCTATTAGAACAAACTTTGTCAATCTCCTAAAATACATGGTTTAGAAAACCCACAGAAAGCAGGGGGGAAAGGAGCAGGTTGGAGGTGCGGGCAGGCACAATTGGTCTGAGAAGAAGGGCTGAGCTGAGATCCACTAGGTAGAGGAGATGAGCAAAACCTGAAGGGTGGTGAAGACCAAGATGCAAGGAGAGGATTGGACTGGCTTTACCCGGAGGACAGAGACCAGAAGTGCCCAAATCTACTGATGATTCTGGAGAGGGTGCTCCAGGAGTGTAGGAGCTCAGGCCACTGTTGTCAGGCTACCAGGGGTTGAAGTTTCAGGTCGAAGGAGAGACAGGCATGACTGCAGCCCTGAGGAAGAATGATGGAAGCAGAGAGGGGAGACTGAAGGGCTTAGTTTGCAAGGGGCAGTGCGGGTGTGTGTCGCATGCTTTAGGAAAACAGGCTCCTCCCGGAGAGGAAGGGGCCAGGGGAGACAGATTGGAGCAAGTGGATAAAGCTAGAGAAACCAGAAGAAATGAGACAGGCAGAGAGGAAGGGACAGAGAGGGCATGGTGTGACTGTGGGATAAAGTAACACTATTGGTGTCCGCTCTCCAGAACACAGGCCAGGTCGTGCTGGTAGCAGGGGGAAATGAGGGGCCTGGAGACCACTGAGCAAAGGCTTGTAGGACTCCATGCTCAGTACCTAGTTGTCACCTAGTTGGGGACCATTAACTTCTCATGGTCTCTAGGACTTCTTTTCACGTCCAGGTCTCGGTGCTGGAGTCCGATACCTGGGCCCAGTCACCTCTTTACTCCCCTCACCCCTGCTCTTGCACTGTGAACACAAAGTGCAGATGTTAGCAAAGCTAGGGGCTCTCATTTTCAGTCACAATAAAGCAGCAGCAGGTGCCAGTCTCCTGCCCTCATCCATTCCTCTGCTCTACGGTCAAATTTCAAAACCATGGTGTGTTCAAGAAAAGCAGTAGAACTATTCGACAGCACTGCAGAGGAAAAAACGGGGGCTGCAGGTAAAGATGGGCTGGAAAGGTGGTAGCGGGGGCGAGCTGGAACAGTCTAGAAGCTAAAGGGAGCAAAAGTGATGTGACTGGTGAGCCTCTTAGCGATCCTCCTCCCTGATAGAATATGCATGATCCCAAGTCCCTGCTCGCCTGGGAGCAAGGAGGCATTGGGGGTAGATCGAGGAGCACTTGTCCAGATGCACTGGGGCTTGGGGTGCAAGGAAGCCCCACCAGCCAGATTGTAATCCCCCCTTGTCCCTTCTCCCATCACCGGGTTAGGGAAACGCTCCTTTTAACCCCCAAGCCAGCTCCTACCTCTACTCCTTTCAGGGGAGCAGCACCCTTAAGGGGCGTGCACATCAAAAGCTGAAATAATCTAGCTTCACAGCTGGCCACAGTTGCCTTGTAGTGACCCTTTGGTGCCAGCTCTGGCCCTCCGCACTGTGCTTTCCCACTACACAGGCAGGACCCCGCTTTTTGGTTTTGTACCACCCATCTTGGCATCTCCCTGGGGCGGTGCTGAACCAGGCGGAGGCGGAGCCCGGGCACAGTGCCACCCGGCTGTCTTCAGCAGAGCCCTGGGGCTCAGCGAGCGCGCTGAGCGCTGTTTCCCCAGCAGGTTCCTAAGACAACCTGCCTTTAAGGAGCGTTTCCCTGGACGCTCCTGCCTCCCGGCGCAGCCATTAGGTTAGCCGGGAGCTTGCAGTGGTCAGGAGAGGGTGAAGCTGCTGCGATCGATCGCAGATCCCCAGGAGATTCTTTCAGCATCCGAGAGTGGAGAAGCCTTTGCAGGAGAGCACATCTAGGGTTCTCGCTGGCTCTCGTGCATCTTCCTACTTGGCTGACGGGAGTGTGAGCCAGCAGGCATGGGGTGTTTGGGCAACAGCAGCAAGACAGCTGAAGATCAGGGCGTGGATGAAAAAGAACGCCGTGAGGCCAACAAAAAGATCGAGAAGCAGTTGCAGAAAGAGCGCCTGGCTTACAAAGCTACTCATCGCCTGCTGCTTCTGGGTAAGGCCAGAGTGCCTGGCAGCTCTGACTCCTGTGGCTCCCAGTGTCCCGGAGTGCGCTGTCCTGGGCTCACCTGGCACAGACAAACCGGGCTGCGCACCTCCGAGCGCCGCGCTGGAACTTGGCCAGGGCGAACTACTTTGAGCCACATCTGGTGTATGCTCAAAAGAACCCACGTAAGGGAAGTGACAGGTATGACCAATAGGAGGACACGAATGACCACCTTTCTGTTTGTTCACAGGGGCTGGTGAGTCCGGGAAAAGCACTATCGTCAAACAGATGAGGATCCTGCATGTCAATGGCTTCAACCCTGAGTAAGGATACCCAGTTTGGATTTGCTTTCTAAATTGTGTGTCAACCGCATCTTTTCTTAGAAGTATTCTCTCCAGGCAGTTCTTTAGATAATGGAGCAGTTTGGGGCTGGAGTGGGGGCAGGGAGGTAAAAATCTAGCATAGAATTGCTCCATTTAGGCAAACCCTTCTTTGGCAATATCTACTTTAAAAAGTAAACGGCTTTCCAAAATATAATTTGTTAGGGATTCTTGGGGGAACTGATCTCCAACATTGGTGTGGCGCTGAACCTTCAGCCAATACATTGGTCCTTTATCCATTGGTATCTGAAGCGGAGAGCTGTGGAGCACCTAACATATTGGACACTGTTGTACAAAATGGTGTAGTAGTTGGAAAACACCTATGAACATCTTTCATTTTACTTTGTATCTCCTCCGGATGATTCATAGTACCAACTGCAACGTGTTAATAAAAGCTGTGAATGCCTCCTGTTCGATGGTTTAGGAAATGATCACAAGGAAAAATGCCTGTACACATTCAATGTGGATACAGGTTTGTGTGTGCGTGCGTGTGTTTTGTTGTTGTTGTTGATTTTTTTTTTTTGCCAAACTTTTTTTTTTAAGTTGGTTGAATCCACCAATATAGAACCACCTATATGAAGCCTAACGATACCACAATACACCCTTTCTCTATAGTACAACCCACTTACATCTACTTCAGTTTATAACTGTCAATATAAGGGATAGGTTTGGATATAGCCGTCGTTGTATTTGTGTGTGATATCCACAATAATTGTGATTATGTGGCCTTGACATTTGTTTGAAGCTGTAGGTTTTAAAGGGAATACATTCAATTTGTTCAGAGCACAAATTGGAAGGGATGGGGGCAATGTTTTTATCTAGGAGGTAAAAGCTTGCCCGGTGCCTTGTGGGTTGATACTGACCTCTGGTGAACCCAGTCTACCTGATGCTGCACTCCCTGGACATTTAAAAACTTAGTTGGTTTCTATTATGAATGAAATTAATAATGATTCTCTTTCAATGCAGGGAAAAGAAGCAGAAAATTCTGGACATCAGGAAAAATGTCAAAGATGCTATTGTGGTAAGGCCTCCCCTAATGTTTGTTCAGTGTTGAGTAGGCTAGGCTCAGACTGTAAACAGAAAGTATGTATTTCTGATTATCTTTCATGGGACCCTTGTATGTTATATCTCTTGGTTTTTTTTTTTCCTTTATCTATTTTAGACAATTGTTTCAGCAATGAGTACTATAATACCTCCAGTCCCACTGGCCAATCCTGAAAACCAGTTTCGGTCCGATTATATCAAGAGCATAGCCCCTATCACCGACTTTGAATATTCCCAGGTAAGAAATTTTTTTGGTCAAGCATCTAACATAATGAGAGGTGGACCCATTTCTAATGAGGTTGCTTACTGGAAAATAGCATGAAGTCTCTAAAATCTAGCCCTATGGATGCTTCTTTTGTTAAACATAGCAAAGGCAATGGGATTGTTAAAAATGCCTTTATGAATGTCTGGGAGGCTGACCATCAGGGACACAGTTTGCCTTTCAGAAATGTTGGCAGCAGTTTTCCTGGTATGTTCTTAAAGCATTGTCACATATAGCAAAAACATAAATTACATGAGCAGAGAGAAAAACTTGGCGCATAACTGCCTTTGTGGGGATAACAGAAGAAGAGAAACAGAATTCCGTTTTTTCTTAGGCTCTGTGTCCACCTGATCACAAGAGAAGAGAGTGCATGTTGTAAGAATGGACCAGAATTCTGTGTGTTGTGTCAAGCATGACACAGTGCAGTTTATATCCTCCTCACTGATAGCTACTACCCATCATTCTTGTGTCAGCATCGCCTGTGCCAGAGAGTGAGACCAGCCAGTACAAGATGTTTCTTGTTGGATTTACACTTCTTTAAAACAGTGTTTGGTGGTTTGATGTAGCAGATTTGAATCAAACTATATACTAAGTTTCTGGGAAAGCCGTGTTTGTCCCAGTTGTAGCAAAAGAGCGTCTTCATATGTGTACATGTATATATGCAGGAAACCCCTACTTTAGAGTTTTCACTGCCTGGCAGGTGGTTTGTAGATACTTCTCTGAGTACAGGCCTTACCCTGCCCAGGCTTAAAGGCCTAATGTACCTGCTGCTCTCTTCCCTCTCCTCTGCCCCTCCAATAAAATGCCATCCTGTGGGTTCTGTATCAAGTTAATGGATACCAATATTTTTGAGACAGGGTCTCTCTGCGTAGCCCTGGTTGTTTTGGAACTCACTCTGTAGACCAGACTGGCCTCAGACTCTCAGAGATCCACTTGCCTCTACCTTGGGAGTACTGGGATTGAAGGCATGCACCACCACACCTGGCTAACAATGTCCTTTAAAGGACTTATATTTTTTATCCTTTAGTATGTTTTGTTTTGATTGTTTGCTTCTGACAAGCATAAGCATCCCAATATAGCCAGAACTATCTGTATGGTTTTTGAAAAGGTGTTCAGAGTGACACTGTAAAAGACATCTGGCACAAGGCACATTGGTTCTGAACTGTGTCTTTACTTAGGGATGGCTGCGAATGGGATAAGGAGACAGTAAGGTGGGTGAAAAGTAGCCAGATGCCTCTGCCACACCAGGAAGCCTCCTAGTTCCAACTGGCGCTGCAGGGCATCTGCTATGTTCTCTGTAGCATTTCGTGCATTGGGAGTATCACGTACAATTACAGTCTTGGTTGAAATAAAAAGAGTAGCCTTCTCATTCAGCCTTAGATGTAGACTGTCCTATCGTGTTTTCTCAAAGTCATTATAAAAGTCCTTATATATTCCTAAACATTTCCTTTCAAATGCCATTGTTAGCACATGAGAAGTCAAGATGGATTGCTCAGTTCCCCATCATTTTCTTTCTGCTCATAAACACTCACGGAAGATTCTTTCCATCTGAAATTCAGAAACCCAGATAGATAGATCTCTCCTGTGCTATCTTAGGCAATGTGAATGTGACCTTTGAGTTAAATCTTGCATATTTTAATAAAAACAATACTTGAGCAACCATTTTCTACATATGCATATATTTTCATAAAATTATTATCATAAGCCACAGTTAGTTATCCATTAGGCAAAAGAGGATTTGATACCAGAAAATACAAATGCAACTAAAGTTCAGTGTGGAGGTGAACTCTTTTAGGAGCTGTTCTGGTACGTTTTGTTTTTTTCTGTCCTAGCACTCTGTATTTTTGCATGTCTGAGCTCACATAAAATGACAGTGTTTTATTTATTAAAAAAATCTAGATATGTAAATAAGAACTTTATACTAATAGCATTGTTTTTGAAAATGTTATTTCTTATATCCACCCACTCTTCATAGACCATATTCCATGGTGCCTGGAAATGTTTAAACTATCTATAGTTTGGAATGCAAGAATTTGGAGGGTGCCAGGTGGAAGTGTGTTTTATGCAGGATGCAGGCTAAGTGTGATGAATGGATTGTAGGAGGTAAGAGTTGAGGGTAGATGGTCCTTTTGAAGCTGGCTGAAGTTATCCAGGCACGGGATGATGGGGTGATTTGGTGTGGAGGGCTGACACTGGGGAAAATAAAAAGGGTCCTGGGTTAGGATATGTTTCAGAAATGGAACTATTAGCATGGTCTGATCTTTGCACGTGGATATTGAACCTGTATTTCTGCACAGAAAATAGAAATAGGTTGGGAAGAGGGAGGAAGGAGTGTTGTTTTCCTGAGACACTGGAAATCACCATGAAGACACCCGGGTATGGGGATGTAGGGCATGAGGTGCAGTCTTGGAGTGAGGAGGGTGAACACCAGAGGTCTCTTGCACAGGGACTATGTGGTGAGATAGGCCAATTAGGAAGATTCTGGCAAAACACTAAGTAGATTGCCAGGTTCCAAGCTAAGAGGCTGTCTAGGATACCATGGCAGGACACCATGATTCCAGAGAAACTAGAGCAGGGATGAGGGGACCTAAAAAGGGCCATTCGAGATTAAAAGAGACCTCCACCACAGGGCAGCATGGAGAAAGTGAATCTAAGTAGGTGACCAAGGGACCTGGCTTTTGGAGCCGGAAGGCCAGCAGCCACCTTGACAAAGGCATGCTGAGAGGAGAATGTTGACAAGAGAAAATGGAGGCCTTCCGTGGGCCGTGTGGCGCGGAAAAGTCAAGAAGCAGGAGTGAAGAAGAGTAGGAAGAACCCAGAAGCACCCTGTGGGCTTTTCCTGTGACTTGCTGTAGCTCTGCCTCTAAGAAAATCCAGGAAGCCAGAATCCAAGGGAGCAGAAAAGGCTCAGAGAGGTTACTTTATCGAGAGACACTGAGAGGACAGGAGGCAGAGAGAATGGGATGTGGGAGAGAGATCACACCGTGGTGCACACAGAAAGGCCTGCTGGAGGGTGATTCTGTGGAGGCGGTTTCCAGAGATGTTGCTTTTAGAATAGGAGTCCCACGGTCGCATCTCAACACACATGACCTGCAGTCTTTGGCAAAGAAAGAAAAACTGACAGTGCAAGGGAAGGGGAAGGAGGCTGTTGGCGAGCCTAGTCTCTCTCGGAGCATAAGGAGAAGGATGGGAAACTCAAAGAGGCAATGGTTGAGTATGAGGGAGGGCAGAGGATAGGCATAGGCCACAGTAAGATGGTAGATTTGGGACGGGAAAAGGAAGGAAGGCTGCCTGCCTTGCAAAGGCCCTTTAAATGAAACTGTTAAAGTAAATTGGCCAGTGTCCACAAAAAAAATCGTTTTCTGGTTTGGGAATTTCCACAAACCTGCCCCCCCCGTTGTTTGTGGCCTTTTTCATGGTCATGGTGAACAGTAAATAAGAGAGAATAAAGCTGTTGTGTGCTCTTTGAACCCAAGTGATACCATTATTCTTTTACAAGCCAAGAGTAGAAAAGGAAAATCTTCAGCTACATGATGAGCTATTTGCTGCCAATAACATGAAATTGGGGAGACAAGGCAAGCACAGTATGCTGAATTTCCCAGGCCCTGTTTTTGGGTGTGGGGGAGGGAGCTTGTGATCGACCAATCTGAGGTCTACTGTGTAAACCAGTGGCAGTGAGCTCTTCCATGAGAGCCCAAACTTCAGCTGTACTTGGATCTTTATCATGGCCTCAAGTCTCCCAACCCCAATCTCCAGGGAGAAGACATGGCTGCTTGTGCCCCTTGAAATAGAACCAGGGAGGGGGCCTCCCTCCCTCTGTGCTCCTCCCCACAGCTCACAACAGCATTCTGTCATGTGTTGTGCACACTGACAACGTCGCAGAATATCTATCTGTTCATGTATATTATGGCAGAAGCTCTTGTGTTGGTGTCGTGCAGAATGTCGGCAGACAGGTTGATTAGAATATCACATGATATTGAGGAAACATTCTTAAGCATCCAGCAGTGGAAATCAGCTTCACGGCTATCCCATCCTTTCCTCTTTGAACCGATGAAGTCATGTGCCAGTTTTAAAAGCAACTGAAGAGCGCCTGGAGGTGTAGCTCAGTGGCAGAGCCCTTGCCTAGCATGCATGAGTACTGCATGTCAAAAGCTCAGGACTTTTGGAGCAAAGGTGAAAACTCACTTCCCTTAGGGAACTGAGATGTTTAAAGATCTTAGTGTATGGAATGAAAAAGCTCTCAACTCAGCTGTAGTCAGAGGTGAAGAATAAATGGCAAATACTCTCAATGCTGGGGGCGGGGGGACGGCAGCCTTGTCGGAGGCACAGCAGTGAGGGACTATGGGCCCGGGCTGTTTTCATGTGGTCAAGGAGCATGGTCCATGAGGAACATCTCTGCTTCCTCATGGGAGGAAGGAAGCAGTAGAGGGAGCAGGCAGTCTGAGGGGCCATTGTGCCTGGACCACTATGCTTCAACCCCAGCCAGACCAAGCACTTGTCATATGACTCAGGGTGAGTCCATTACTTCATTTCTACCTGTCATTTCTCAACAGTGCAGCATAGGGGATCATGCCGGTTACTCAAGGTGTCTGTGACAGGATTAAACATGGTGACACCTGAGGCAGCCATCTCTTGAGAGACATACCTTGGGAATGAGTGTCCTAGCTCTGTGAGAGAGACGAGCTGGTGGAGTCAGGTGCACAGTGTCATCAGATTCCAGCTCAGGATGTGGCCCTCATCCTCACCCCATGTCATCAGCCCAAAGGTCCTAGTGGTCTAAGTAGATAACAGTTCTCTGTCAACTCTTCCTTCATCCATAGAAGACTAACAGACCCCAGAGCCATCCCACCCTGCCTTAGACAGCATTCACAAGCAGTTTCTTTTGTCTCATGCCAAGAGCCGGTGTCCCCTAAACACAACACACCTCAGGGAACTCTCCCCCAAATATCACAATTGGAGACAAGCTAAAGAACTTG